GAGTGTGTGTGTGCTTGATATATGTATGCGAGTGCGTGTTTGATATATGTATGCGAGTGTGTGTGTGTGTGAGAGTGTGTGTTTGATATATGTATGCGAGTGCGTGTTTGATATATGTATGCGCGAGTGAGTGCGCGAGTGTGAGTGAGTGAGTGTGTGTGAGTGAGTAAGTGTGTGTGTGAGTGTGTGTGAGTGAGTGAGAGTGAGAGTGAGTGAGTGTGAGAGTGAGTGAGAGTGAGTGTGAGAGTGAGTGAGTGTGAGAGTGAGTGAGAGTGAGTGAGAGAGTGAGTGTGAGTGAGTGAGTCCCTCACCTGAAGCGGCTGTGAGTGTATGTGATGTACTCGTTCAGAGCGTGCAGGTGAGCTGAGTCTCCGTGGAAGTGTTTGAGTGCGGCGCTGTGCTGCAGGATGCGGGCGATGGAGCCCAGTGTTCGCCGCTGACCCGGCAGCAGAGCAGAACCAGCCCCGAACTCCACCACATCAAAACCATCCGGAGCCACGATCGCCGGGTTCATGTAGCGATAGTAGACCAGGTTACCCACGATCTGATCACACACACAATAAATAAATCAAAACATAAACCAGGAGAGGTTATTTTGTACATTTGAAATAAATATATATATATATATATATATATATACATACACATACAGTGGGTACGGAAAGATAAACAGCTGAATTCACAGGAGAAGTGTGTGTGTGTGTGTACCTGCAGCAGGTAGAAGAGGTGCTGATAGGCCTCCAGTTTGTCTCTCTTCTCTTTACTAAGAGCTTTCAGGCCTTTGTGTTTGTCCAGAGCCATCATGTCACTCAACTGCTCCTTATTCTTCTTAGTGAGCTTCTTACAGTGAGACACCACCTCCTACAGACAGACAGACAGACAGACAGAAAGACAGACGGTCAGACAGACAATCAGAAAGACGGTCAGACAGACAGACAGACGGTCAGACAGAAAGACAGACGGTCGGTCAGACAGACAGACGGTCAGACAGACGGTCAGACAGACAATCAGAAAGACAGACAGACGGTCAGAAAGACAGACAGACGGTCAGAAAGACAGACGGTCAGACAGACAGACAGACGGTCAGACAGAAAGACAGACGGTCAGACAGAAAGACAGACGGTCAGACAGAAAGACAGACGGTCAGACAGAAAGACAGACGGTCAGACAGAAAGACAGACGGTCAGACAGAAAGACAGACGGCCAGACAGACGATCAGAAAGACAGATTCACCGCCGTCTCTCCTGACCTGCAGCGTGACTCTGTTGCGGACCAGCAGGCCGATCTTCAGGTCCATCAGGTCCAGGTCGGCCTCCAGCTGTCTGTTGGCCCGGATGGACCTCACCACCTCCTCTCTGAGACGCTGCAGCTCTCCCTCCTGACGGATGTCACTGTCACCAAACTCCAGCAGGTGAGCGAACTTACGCACGACGGAGAGCGGCGGAGTGCTGGAGTGAACTGAACCACATTCACACACACTCAAGACCGGTTCATTCCCACATAAACACATCTGCTCTAAAGATCTGCAGTCAATTAGTTGGAGTCTTTCAACATGTGCTAAACATTCTTGATGACGTGTATCATGAATATTGTGATGATTTTATTTGCTTATCAAGTTTCCTAAGCATGCCATTTAACTAGTTTCATGATCCTTTCTCGTGAATCGTCTGTCTGAGCCAGTGACGGCGTGTTAAGCCATGATACACACTACTGTTCAAAAGTTTTGGGCCAGTAGGCCTTAAAAAAAAAATGTATACTTCTATTCATCAAGGAGGCATTAAATGGATCAAAAGTGACATTAAAGAGTTATGTTACAAAAGATTTCTATTTCAAATAAATGCTGTTCTTTTAAACTTTCTGTTCATCTGTGAATCCTGAAAAATAAAATATATCACCGTTTCCACAAAAATATTGGGCAGCACGACTGTTTTCAACATTGATAATAATCAGAAATGTTTCTCGAGCAGCAGATCAGCATATTATACTGATTTCTGAAGATCATGTGACACTGAAGACTGGAGGAATGATGCTGAAAATACAGCTGCACATCACAGAAATACATTACAGTTTAACAGAGATTCACATAGAAAACAGCTATTTTAACTTGTAAAAATATTTCACGATATTTACTGTATTTTTGATTAAACCGCATCGGTGAGCAGAAGAGACTTCTTTCAAACACATTAAAAAATCTTACCAACCCCAAACTTTTCAACTGTATACAGTACGATGCCTTAAAAGGTTTTCTAAATACGCAGCACGCTATCTTTTGGAACAGGCTCATATGTTTAATAAACAGATAAAAACCAAACTGCAAACTAACGCATGCAGTCTGATCATCAAAAACTAAGTGAAAAGAGGTCAATGGAAAATATCGTGTAAGCAGATGTCCAGTACACTCGGTTATTAGACAATAAACTCCAAATGCTGCTCCACAATGGCAGAGAGGTAAGTAACAGGGTAATATTCCATCACACCTCTGTTATTGCTTCTTTTTTCCCTTCACACCCCTTCAATTTCCGTTTCTAACCTTCTGTGAAAGGCTCCCAGTCATACACGCGTCCCATAAACTCTTGATTGTTGAACGCTGCACACTGTTCAGCCCTGGAGCTTACTGGAGCACCTGGACATGCCTACAGGGAGAGAGAGAGAGAGAGACTTAAGTTATGGTATCTCACTTTGACAAGCATGACCGTGCGTGCGTGCGTGCGTGTGTGAGTGTGTGTGTGTGTGTGTGTGCGTGTGTGCATGCTTTGGGTCAGCCTGTGACAGAGAGTGATGCATTAGTTACCGTATGGAAATAATGGTGAACCTGGAAACACTCTAAATAAATCTCCAGAGGGAGAGACAGACGGAGGCCAGTGTTTTCAGAGTCAGAGAAAGACAAGAGCCCTGAAGAAGACGACTCAAAATGACACATTTTAAGGAATGAAAAACTGACAAACCACTAGGGTTAGGAATTTTTTAACAAGTAAAATGTATTTTAGTCTAGTTGTACAAATGTCCACCTTCAGCTCAAGCTTCACATGCCTTTTTGCTGTGAAAACATTACTGATTTTCATAAAGTAAACATAAGAATAACTTTGATGTTGTTAGTAATATTTCCAGATGAACACTTACTGGACTGAAGCAGCTCAGCTTTACTTGATTCTCCATCAATCATGTTTTAGAGTCTCAAATCTGATCCTCAGGATCTTTTGAGGAGCGTTTGTTTCCAGAAGCTTTACTTTCACTGTTCCTCAGCGGAGGAATGATCTTCACAAGCCTCCAGAACATCTCACATCTTCTGAGGAGCCTTTATTTCTTCAGCTCTCAATCACTGCATTATATGTTTGGAGCATTTCA